TTTATTTATTTGAGAGAGAGAGAATGAGAGACAGAGAGCACGAGAGGGAAGAGGGCAGAGGGAGAAGCAGACCCCCTGCTGAGCAGGGAGCCCGATGAGGGACTCGATCCCGGGACTCCAGGATCATGACCTGAGCCGAAGGCAGTCGCTTAACCAGCTGAGCCACCCAGGCGCCCTGGGTAGTTTGATTCTTATTTTGTAGAAGCAGCAGCAGAGGTTCTGAGAGGTTAAATCATTTGCCTAAAATCAGGCAGCCAGTAAGTAACACAACTAAGGCTCAGCCTCAGGCTTATTGGTACCAAAGTCTTGTACTTTCTCTCATATCAAAGCTTATCTCTGGGTTTCTGTTTGTTCTTTTATATAGCATTTCTGTAAAAATATATTCTATGCATATTTAATTTAGCTGTCTCCATACTGTGAGCTGTATAATTTGTTAAGTGAAAAAACTGGATTGTTTAACACGAAGATGTTTTGCTGAATGGAGGACAGGTCACTTCCCTGACTTAGCTGTTTATGTGGACCCGTTTACCTTCAAGATGCCTTGGGTGTTCCTGTAGTTCCTCAAACTCTCTGCAGCCAAGCGGTTGGTGTGGTTCAGCTGGATTTCCATCTCATTGAGGTCTCCTTCCATCTTCTTCTTGACTCTGAGAGCATCATTCCTGCTCCTGATCTCAGCATCCAGGGTGCTCTGCATCGACTCCACCACTCTGATGTGGTTTCTCTTCAGCTGGTCTATTTCCTCATCCTTTTCAGCAATTTTCCTGTCAACTTCAGACTTGACTTGGTTCAACTCCAGCTGGATGCGCAGGATCTTTCCCTCTTCATGTTCAAGAGATGCCTTAACAAAACAGTGATCAATTAATAATGGAAAATAACTTGAATATTTGGAGTGTATTCCCTTGTGAGCCAAATTCTTACTAACATCAGTTTGTCTGATTTTACAAAGTACAATACAACAGTTCCAGGAGCCTGTTAGGTAAATCATTTTTTTTCTTGTTTATTCAGTCATAGATTATATAGGGCAGCTCTGTAATAAAGGTGCTTTATAAAGTATGAAGTGCTATGTAAGTATTATTCATGTGAGTACTAACAAAACTTATAGTTAAACTCATGTAGTAAGCATGAACTCTCAGTCTGTTTTATACATTAAAATGTTTGTAGAAATTCTCAATTTAAAAACATTTTTCTGATTACAAAATATACAGTGTAGAACATGGGGCAATGTATAAAAACAAAGAAAAACCTCCTATTGTGCACCCCATCCAAAGATGACCATTTAAATGTGGTACATTTTTTCTAGACTTTTTCCTACTTATATATATATTTTTGCATCATGAAATTATATATATTTATGTGTGTTTGCTTTAAAATTATTGTCTACCATAAATATTTCCCCATATTATATTTAATGGTCATATACAGTTGCAGCATATGAATTTTCCATAGTTAGCTTCATCTTTTTCTTGGATTGGACATCTTTGTGCTTAAAGATTTACCTCCATTTGAGATAATTTTCTTGAGGTAGATTCTTATAGAATTGATGGGTCATAGTATTACATTTTTAAGGCTTGTCCTTCATAAAGGCTGTACAAGTTCATATTCTCACAAGCTCTGTAATAATGGATCCATCACCTACTTTGAGTGTTTTCACCCATGTCTTTGATTTTCCCGAACAACATAATAATATGTACCTCTGCTTCCTCTAAGGCAGCCTGAATGTCACATTTCTCTTGTTCCACTTGCTTCTTTATTTTCTCCAATTCATGGATTTGCTTCCCTCCCTCAGCAATCTGCTCAGTGAGGTCAGAAATCTCCTCTGTGGGTGAACAGATAAGGGAGGGGTGGTCAGACTCATGCAACATGGAAGGGTCTTGCCAGGGCTGTTGGAGGTATGGAAGTTCAAGAGCACTCACGCTGCAAGTTCTTGTTCTCCCGCTTTAGGGTTTCCACTTGATCCAGGGATTCCTCATAGGCATTCTTGACCTTGAACAGCTCAGTGCTGAGCGCACGGGCCTCCTTCTGGGAGGCCTCAAGTTCAGCCTGAGTTTCCTCATACTTCTGTTTCCACTCTGCCAGGACCTGAAAAGCAGCAAATTGTCAGCCGCTGCAAGGAGAAAGGGAGACCCAGTAAACATTGATGAAGTTTAAGCAGGCCGGGCCACCTTGTCGAAGTTCCTCTGCTTCTTGTCCAGGGCGGCGCAGGCCGCGTTGGTTCTCTCCACGTCCAGCATGAGGTCCTCCACCTCATTCTGGAGCCGCTGCTTTGTCTTCTC